CATAACACACACACACAGGGGCTCCTGGGTGGTTCAGTTGGTTGGGTGTCTGACTTCAGCTCAGCTCATGATCTCACAGTCCATGAGTTCGGGCCCCGTGTCAGGCTCTGTGCTGACAGCTCAGAGCCAGGAGCCTGCTTCGGGTTCTGTGTCTCCCCCTCTCTCTCTCTGCCCCTCCCCTGATCATGCTCTGTCTCTCTCTCTCTCAAAAATAAATAAAAACATTTTAAAAATTTTTAAAAGAAAATAACACACACACAGGTTGATTTACTATATGGAATAGGAATTGGCTCGTGAAATTATGGAAGCTGAGAAGTCCAAGATCTTCAGTGGGCAAGCTGGAACATCTAGCAAACTGGAGACCTGAGAGAGCCAATGGTGTGGTTCCAGTGTGACCGAAGGCCTGAGAACCAGAAAGAGTCAGTGTTTCAGTTTGAGTCCAAAAGCAAGAAAAAGTTGATGTCTCAGTTTGAAAGCAGTCAGGCAGGAAGCATTTCCTCTTATCTGGGGGGGTGGGGGGGACCAGCCTTTTTCTTCTATTCAGACCTTCAACTGATTGGATGTGGCCCACCTATATCAGGGAGGACAATCTACTTCACTGAATTCTAATGATTTAAATGTTAATCTCATCCAAAAACACCCTCATGGAAACACCCGGAACAATGTTTGATCAAAAATCAGGGCATCCATGGCTCAGTCAAGTTTACACATAAAACCAACCATCACAGTGGGGAGGGCAAAGGTACAGGCATTCTCCACAGAGGTCTTGGCCTGTGGTAGGTTCACTGGAGGATGTGCCAGCAGGCTGGCAGTGAGGGTACACGTGATTAGGTTGTCTAGGCAGTGGGCCAGGTTCTGTCCTCTGACTCATGGAAGGGAAGAAGAGAGGAAGGGACTTCTCTCTGTAGCTTCCTGGGCTCTTCAAGTCTGGCCATCAGAGGTCAGATGGCCCCAGACCTCCAGTGCAGGCCAGGAGGAGATGCACATGAGCGGGGGTGAGATGAATTGACCTAGGTGACAGAGATTCATGCTGAGGACAAAGGTTTGTTTTTAGCTCTGTGGTAAAGTGAGCCAGGTTACTGGGAGTAGGTGGACAGTAAGCAGGGATGGCTGCCTTGGCTTCCACTTCTAGGCCAACCCCAAATATGTGACAGGGGAGGGGAGATATGCCCTCCCCTCTAACTGCCCTGGATGACTTTCTCTCTAGCTCTCCCCATCCCTTCCTCCTGCAGGTGCTCCCTCTAGTGCCTCATCTCTAACTGTTTGCTGCTGTGGTTGAAGGGAAAGCAATCAGCTCAAGATCCCACTTAGGGTCAGGTTACAAGATTAACTCCAAACAGGATTAGGCTCATCCTTACAAAGCTGAATCCTTTGCATTGTAGTGAGAGTGGGGTCTCATCCTTTCTAGACAAGACTTACCGTGACATGTTGTAAAATCTCTCCAACTGGAGTGGATTGTGTTAGCCAAATGTAAATAGATTATGCTCCCAAGTCAGAGCATTTCATTAATATGCCATACATAATTAGAACCTTTGTAAGGACTTTTGCACATTGTAAAGTGTAAAGTACAATTCAATAAGAATAAGAAAACAATAGCAAACATTTATTGGTCACTGTGTGCCCAGAGATCCCGTACTATGAGCCTCATATGCATTTTGTCATCAGAATAATCCTATGGGGGTAGATGCTGTTACTCATCCCCCTTTTCCAGATGAGGAATTGTGGTTTCAGGAGATGAAGTAACTTGCTAGTATAGATCCCATGTTGATTAGACTGGACATGTCCTGACCCCATACTGCCCATGCCTTTAACCCTGTGGTATCACTTCCAATAACATGCAGCTGTGACCCAAAGAAAGCTCTCAGTCCAGTCAGAAGGCCCCTACTTGGCCCTTGTAATCCCCCAGGTTTGGCAAGGCTTGTGTCTCCACACACGAGTTACAAGCATCCATCTGGTAGACCCCGACAGCCCAGAGGGGTCTGTTCCTAGCTGTGGCATTACTAGAAAAACAGCCTCTGAGGAAGTTTTGTTTCTTTCTAATGCTTGAGACAAGGTTGCATTTGAGAGAAGAAACTTCGCAGCAAGATCTCTACTTCCGCCTTTCCCAAACATCTACTTGGGCCTGGCTGCCCTCTGGCTGAGAGGAGAGAGCCTGCTGGGGAAGATGCAGGCTGGGAGGCCATGCTCTACACCCCTGCTTTACCAGTTTGAAGGGAATTATGGCCCATCCATTATCACCCTTTTCTTAGATGGGCTCTCTAAAAGGAACAGAGAGGGCGCCTGGGTGGCTCAGTCGGTTGAGCCTCCGACTTCGGCTCAGGTCATGATCTCATAGTTTGTGAGTTGGAGACCTGCATCAGGTTCACTGCTGTCAGCACAGAGCCTGCTTCGGATCCTTTGTTCTTCTCTCCCTGTGTCCCCCCCCCCCCCCACCCCGTGCTCACGCTGTCTCTCTCAAAATAAAGAACATAATAAATAGATGGATAGATACATTGATAGATAGCAAGCAGAGAATAAAGAATTGAAAGGGGATGTTGTTGGCAGCCAGGTTTGGATGGCCTGGGGAGGAATGCCTGAAAGAGAGAAGGCCTCCCTGTGAGTCACATTGCTGTCCAGTTTTCATAGGGGAAGAGCTCCAGGTACAAAGAACGACTACTTTGGTTTTTGGTTAAAACAGAAATGCTTAGACTTAACTAACAACTTTATGGGTTCATATATGATGTAGAGGTTTATCATATCCAAAGTGAAGGAAAAAACTATAGTGCATTACTTATTGCCTGTTCCTGTCTGTAGCTCTCCGAGCTTAACTTGAAAGCTGTAGAAGGTTAGACTGAGGAAGGAGAGGTAATATAGTGGGGCCAGGGTGTTTCTCCTTCGTCACCTCATCTGTGAAGAGCATCCTGGAAGGAGTGTTCTCAAACAGAGGTAAAACCACCACTGAATTTATACTGTGGGATTAGACACATTTCTGTTGCTGAGAAGATCTAGAATCACATCTCTTTTTCTAAAGGAGCCAAATGCAGGCAGGAGCCGGCCCCAGCAAGCAGGAGGCCCCTTCATTTCCAGCTGAGCCATGTGTTTGATTGTGGGGGACTTGCTACTGGTTTTCCTGGAAAATGTGGTTGTTTGAAAACACAGAGCATGGGATTAGTTCCTTTTGTTATTTGGGTGAGAAGCTCCCTCAGCAGTACACTGCTACATTGCCTTGACATCTACATATTTATGCCTGTCCAGGTGACTGTTCCCAAAGAGGTACACTTGGTAAGTGTTAAGTGTAGTGAATCCTGTGTCAGACCTAAAGGCCAAGGATATACTAAGGACCTTGAAATGACCTCCCAAATGTATCAAGGAGAAGAGTGATTTTCTTCATAACCCCATCCATCCACCCACCTATCCACAGTCCAGTGCAGTTCTGAATGTAGATGCCTCAAAACAGGCCTCCACTATTTTTAATGAAGGGGACCTAGTTTTTCTTTACCTGAGACCTATAGAGATTACCACATGAATAGTGCAGGAGCACAGGCTAAAAAACAGAAGAGATTCACAGTAGGTGTCTCTTCTTCCTTGGGAATCCTGAGAAAATTGTAGCAACAGGGTAGAGCGTGTGATAACCAGCTTGACTACCCACGAAGGAAAACGTCCAGCTTTGGCAGGTCGGGGTTCCTCTGCTTCAGAGTTCAGTTAGTATATATTCAGTTTAGTCTAGACATGTCCTTCTATGACCTTTCAATATCCTTGCAGTTTGTTATTTTCTGCCTTCTAAAAATGGAGACCCTGAGCATCCCTGCAAGCCCTTGTTCCTTGTGTAGCACAACTGGGGTCCTGTCTTTGGGGTTGGTGCAGCTTATCCTTTATTTCCTGAACCACATTAAAATTGAATTTGGAGTGTTCTGGCTATTAATGGCATTATTAGCTTTCCCCATGACCTCAGAAAGATGCCAACAATATATCCTTTTTCAAGTAGATTATCATGTGTATCTACATACACCTACCTCACACCCAGTGTGGTGGAGTTGCAGGGGGTCCAACATTGTCCAAGGACAGCTCTATTCCCCAGCTCCTTTTCCCTGCAAATCCTCCTTAGTGCTCACTGAAGTTCTTAGAGCTCTCAAACCCCAGTTGCTGAAAGGTCAGAGAATTAGGCAATTTGCCCCAGTATGACCCTTTTAATGTCCCTATTGTTAACTGTATATAAAATAGCTTGAACTTGTGCTTATATCCTAAAAGCTTTGTTTAAAATTTTTATTATTTCTGCGCTTTTATAGCCAATAAATGCAGAACTCAGAGAAGACTGCTTTTATTAAAGAAATTGCAACCAGCCACTTTTGACCAAAAGCTTATTGAAAGAAGTCTCATGAGCACAGTGAGGTTTGCCACAAGACATGTTGTGACAGCTGCAGAACAAAGCGTTGCTGATGCCGCCTCCAGCTGCCCTCACAATCCTAAGGAACACTTAACTTGCCCTTTGTCTGGTGGCTTGTATCCAGACTTAGTCAATCCTCCAAAAATGACTGAGTGATTTTGAGCCTTAAACAACAGGCTGGTGGGGGCTGTGATTTCTGATTTGGGCTTTCACTGTAGGAAACCCCAAGAAGCTCACCTGTTCCAATCCAGTGGAGTCTGGACATTTCGTATTTTTATCATCTCCTCAACCTTCTTTCTTAAAGTCAACCTTATTAAAATGGATTTTTTTTTCTCCCTAGGTAATGACCAAATCACATCCCCCACTCTCATCAGATTTAAAGTCAAACTCTTTGTTACAGGATACAGTTCCAACAGTTGCCATGTGTGTGCTCTGTTAAGTCAACGCCCAAGAAGCTTTCACCCTTAAGTCTATATTCGGGGAAAGTTTGTATTACGTATCTTATGTTTTCTCCCCAATAGTAGTCACGAAAAGAAGGGGAGGTTTTCCACTTCAGATTTTCATGAAATGTTAGAAAGGGTAAGAGTTTGATTAAATTGTGTGCCATTAATCATAAGTGCTTTTTTTTTTTTTTTAGGTTGCATTTGATGCCAGAAGGCAAACACAACCTGCATCTACGTTTTGCAAATGAATTCAATAAGTTAGCAGAAGACTTCTTACAATAAGAATGCCCACTGCTGGGAGCTGGGCATTCCTTAGTGTGGGGCTTCAGCCTGTTGCCACCTGTGAAACACACCCGTCACACCTCACCTCACCTGCCTCCCATGCTTTCTACTCCCTGCAAAGTACTCTCAGACATACACAAATAATGACCTATTAAAACGTCTTCTAGGGGCATCTGGGTGGCTCAGTGGATTAAGTGTCTGCTTCTGGATTTCAGCTCAGGTCACGATCTTGTGGTTCATGAGTTCGAGCCCTGCATCATGCTCTGTGCTGACAGCTCAGAGCCTGCTTGGGATACTTTCTCTCGGCCCCTCCTCCCCTCATACTCCCTCTAAATAAATGAATAAACACAAACAAACTTAAAGTCTTGTAGCTATAAAGGCTACAAAAATTAGATCTGATTTTTTAAACATTAAGTTGTGAATTCTACCATTAGTTAAAATAAATTCTGGTTGTGATTTACTTTCTCTTGTATCTTAGGTGAAGCATTTGGAGTATTTATCACTGTTATTTCAGGGTACATTGAATCTTGAATTTATGCTGTACTTTTTATCTGAGAGGTACAAGTTTTCGCTGGTCTTTTTACTTGTGTTTATCACATTGTTCAAAGTAGAGAAACACGACCCTCCATACTACATTTTCACAAGGGTTGCTGGAACTACAGCAAGTAAGGGAGGAAGGTTTGCTTTGTCCTTAAATCTCGATTCACTCCTGGACATGTTTACTGGATTCATTTACTTTAATACTTGGGGTCAGTGAAAATGAAAAATATGTCTTTATATCTGTCTTTATTAAAAGAGCAGAGAAGCCATTAACTTAAAAATACTTAACAAAACTCCAATTTTGTTAAGATGACTAAACCCAGAAGCATTTACTGGAAGGGCACCTGGGTGGCTCAGTCATGAGCTCACTGTTCTGGATGTTGAGCCTGGTGTCCAGTTCTGCCCTAACAGTGCAGAGCCTGCTTGGATCCTCTCTCCCTCTCCCTCTGCCCCTCCACCACTTGTGCGCACGCTCTCTCTCAAATAAATATTAAAAAAGAAAAAAAAAGATAAGATGTAGTGAGTTAAAAACCAAAAAAAGCATTTAGTGGAATAAAAATTACCTGAAATGAAAAAAGAGACCACACCGTTTTAGACACATGCTTTTTTATTAGTATAGATATCTTAGACAATACTGTAATTTTTAGGAGTTCCACATTATTACATCAACAGTGTGAATTTCTGACAGAGGCAAAACTGAGCACCATAGTATACAAATAGAAAGACCATGCTTGATTGAGGACAACAGAAGTTCACTAAAGATGCACGATGTATTTGAGAAGTCCTTAAGCCTCGTCCTCGCCCTCCTCCTCCTCGAACTCGCCCTGCTCGTCGGCCGTGGCGTCCTGGTACTGCTGGTACTCGGACACCAGGTCGTTCATGTTGCTCTCGGCCTCGGTGAACTCCATCTCATCCATGCCCTCGCCCGTGTACCAGTGCAGGAAGGCCTTGCGCCGGAACATGGCCGTGAACTGCTCCGAGATGCGCTTGAACAGCTCCTGGATGGCCGTGCTGTTGCCGATGAAGGTGGCCGACATCTTGAGGCCGCGCGGCGGGATGTCGCACACGGCCGTCTTCACGTTGTTGGGGATCCACTCGACGAAGTAGCTGCTGTTCTTGTTCTGCACGTTGAGCATCTGCTCGTCCACCTCCTTCATGGACATGCGGCCGCGGAAGATGGCAGCCACGGTCAGGTAGCGGCCGTGGCGCGGGTCGCACGCGGCCATCATGTTCTTGGAGTCGAACATCTGCTGGGTCAGCTCAGGCACCGTCAGCGCGCGGTACTGCTGGCTGCCCCGGCTGGTGAGCGGCGCGAAGCCGGGCATGAAGAAGTGCAGGCGCGGGAAGGGCACCATGTTCACGGCCAGCTTGCGCAGGTCGGCGTTCAGCTGGCCCGGGAAGCGCAGGCAGGTGGTCACCCCGCTCATGGTGGCCGACACCAGGTGGTTGAGGTCGCCGTACGTGGGGGTGGTCAGTTTCAGGGTACGGAAGCAGATGTCGTACAGAGCCTCGTTGTCAATGGAGTAGGTTTCATCTGTGTTCTCCACCAGCTGGTGCACCGACAGGGTGGCGTTGTAGGGCTCGACCACCGTGTCTGACACCTTGGGAGAGGGCATGACGCTGAAGGTGTTCATGATGCGGTCGGGGTACTCCTCCCGGATCTTGCTGATGAGCAGGGTGCCCATCCCAGACCCTGTGCCGCCCCCCAGCGAGTGGGTCAGCTGGAAGCCCTGCAGACAGTCACAGCTTTCTGATTCCTTCCTCACCACGTCCAGGACCGAGTCGACCAGCTCGGCTCCCTCTGTGTAGTGGCCCTTTGCCCAGTTGTTTCCAGCACCGCTCTGGCCTGCCAGAGGGAAAGGAGAATATTAGACACTAAAACATAAGGAAATCTGAATTCTTTCATTTTGACTATAGACTAATCTTGGAATTGCAGACTCTTCTCTTTTAGATATGCTTTCTTACAGAAAATTTTCTATACATCCATGATCTTCAAAAACACTGGAGATCATAAGCAAGTTTATTCACATGGAGTTATTAACTGATCAAGAAGACGGTTTAACAAAACCCAACTGGTTTTAAAATTAGGAACAGGAAGCTTCTGTGAATAGGTTTAATAAACAGGCAAGGGCAAGGGTACAATATGATCCAAAAAGAAGATGGGCTCCAAGCTGCTGTCTCCACTTCTGGTCACAACCTGTGCCTTTGGCCTTTGGCTTCCTGAAGTGGTTACCTGCTGTCTCGGGCCCTCTGACATTACCGGCAGCCTGTTACCCTTCCTGTTGGAAGGTTCATCACTGCTCAGTATTCTTTACTGCCACGGGCTGCTCTGTAGTAGGAGCACCATAGAAGCCCTCTGCAGGCTGACAGCTCTTTGAGCTGCCTAGAGAGGGGCCAGAGAAGTGGCCAGGACCCAAGGCTGTCCATGGACACACAATCTCCACCTTAGCATTCAGCACCAAGAACGATGATTTCCACAGTGTTGAGAAAGGAGACTCACTGAGCCATTTGCCATGGATCAGGACTACATACCGAACACGAAGTTGTCTGGCCTGAAGATCTGGCCAAATGGTCCAGACCTGACCGAGTCCATGGTGCCTGGCTCCAGATCCACCAGGATGGCCCGAGGTACGTATTTGTTACCTGTGGGGAACAGAGCCAGACTTAGACCTGCAGTGGGCAAGGGAATCACAGGCAAGACTGTGCTCTATGTGCCTTTCACGGCAGAATCATTAGAGAAAATTCTAGCATCTGAGGCAAAAGTGAGCAGAGGTGCTTTTCTGCTTTAAAAGAGATGATGGCATGCTTAGTCATGGCAAACATGCAGGAGTCGTAAGGAACTATAAAGTGTATTTTTGCCAGTTGACATTTAAAATGAATGCAAGAAGCATGTCTTTGGCATTTGTATGTTCCTAGCACATTCCGTCTGCCACGGTATGCAAAGCAAGGTTGACTGGGCAAAAAACAAAACCAAACAAAAAACACTGTAATAATCACCAGCAGCTTCGTTGTAGTACACATTGATTCTCTCCAGCTGCAAGTCACTGTCTCCATGGTAACTGCCAGTGGGGTCGATCCCATGCTCATCACTGATGACCTCCCAAAACTGGGGAGAAAAAAAAAAAAACACATGACGGCCTAGCATCCTAAATATCAAGAAGGATGGCCCTTTTCTCCCTGTCATGTCCTTGGAACAGTGGCCATTGTGGTCAGACAGTGGAGGAGTCCTATAGGCCCAAGCCCCTGTTCCTCCAGCAGCTGCTGCAGAGGGGCTTGGAAATCTGCAGAGCATCGGCCATATTATGGCGACAGACTGCAAAGCTGGGAAGGGCACTGAACCAGGAGGGTGAGCCCAGCAGATCCCCTTCTAGGGAAAGCTATGGATGCTGGGGAGGCCATCACCCCCAGGCAGGGCTGAATGTCACAGCATCCCAGCTGATGGACGGGTCCTGCCACCCAGGACCAAGGACCACTTGGACCCCACCCTGAGAGACTGCCTCCAGGGATCAATGTCTCCTGGCACAAACCCCACCCAGCCCTCCAGGCAGCACAGTTTTCTACCACTGACATCCTGTGGCCTGTCGCCCCTGCCCCCAGCAGGGGATGGTTGGGGAAGGGCAGGCAGGAGGAATCTGGGAGCCCGATTGGGGACAGTGGCCAGAGCAGGGCACGCTGAGGGCACAGGCTCCATTGTGAATTTGCAGCAGGAAAGGGGGCGGGGAGGTTGGGGTGGGCAATATGGCGGTTCTGAAAGAGACCACGTCCTTGTCCAGGCGCCCGCCCACACCCTTGCACCACGCTGGCTCCTGCCTCGCCCACTGCGGTGGGAAGTCCCAGCCCCAGGACGGTCACCTGCCGCCTTCCAGACAGGAAGTCAGACTCTGACATTATGTATCATCACGTCCAGATGGTGCTCATATTAGGGAAATTATCTAACATCCTCGTCTTTGTAACCCGACAAGAAGTCTCTCTAGCTTGTCACCCCAATGACATTGCATTTTTTTCATTCAAACTATAAAGGAAAATAAACAAATTGAATTCCACATGAGGCCACTGGATTAATAAGACCTCTGCCCCTACCCAAATTTCAGAGAGTAATACATCCAGGGTAATGTCGACTACGTCTGGCAGAAGGGCCGTGTCCGAGGAAATTTCAAAAGGCCTTGATTAAAGGCACACACAACTGCGTCGCCGCGCGCATCGTGGCAGGTTGTGTGGCTTCCTGGGCCCCGCCCGGCGGCCGCGCCGAGAATGCGCCACCGGGCCGGCGGGCTACCGCCGCCTCCCCCCGGCCCCTTCCCTGCACCCTGGGGTCCCGCCGCCCCTGACCCGGGTCCGCACCCTCGGGGCCTGCCGCCCCCTGCCCAGCCCCTGCCGGGCGGTGCGCCCACCTTGGCGCCGATCTGGTTGCCGCACTGGCCCGCCTGGATGTGCACGATCTCGCGCATGGTGCCGGCTGCGGAGAGGGTGGAGGCGCTGGCCCTCGGAGCTGTGCACGGCGCGACC